TACCTGGGCTATTGATTTACACTAGCCAATCAGACGAATTTCAGCCCATGATATATTTCCCCTTTTTTAAAATTGACAATATTTTTTTTATCAATCTAACGATAAGCAAAATCTTTTTAAGTGGATACGATTTAAATTTCAGAAGTTTAATTAAAATAAGTATGATTCGTTCTTTTTCACGAACTGTCTTGGCTTCGAAAACAAAAAATCGTATATTCCATCGACCAGTCTTTGTTCGCAATGTTGGTTTATTTGCGAGATTTGTAGAAAATCTAAAGATACAAATTGAAAAGAACAAAGAATTTCAACAAAATGTTAAATTATTACAAGACCAGGCAGATCAATTAGGGGAATCTGAGACTTTAAAAAAAGCGAAAGAAGCTTATGCTAAGGCTAGGGTATGAATATTTTAACTGTTTCATACACCGAATTTCTGGTTAAAAGAGTACCTTGTCATAAGATAACTCATGAGCATGAATTCAGCAATTTACTATCCCACTAGAGGGATTTTTGAATGAATTAACACATATTATGAACATTATGAATTTAAGGAAGAAACAATACGGAGCTCCGAAAAACTTGACGGACTCAAAAAATCTGTAGAAAAGATTGGAACCAAATTTTCGGACACGATCAAAGATGTTGGAGAAAATCCATATGTTAAAGGAACAATTAAAGGAACTCAAGAAACGGTAGAAACATTAATTAATATCCTGTATAAAATTGAACAAGCATTGATTTTACAAATAATTTAAAAAGCTTTTTTTTTATTTGGTTTACTTTTTTCTAGATTTCGAACGTGTCGTCTAAAATATCATCTACCACAGAACCAATACGACAGACCAAGATGTATACAAACATCCGTGATACATTGAAGGAAACTGTAGGAGATGATATATCTCAATATGGTGGATTCATTGATAAGGAAACAAGGAGAAAAATGAAGGAAGAATCAACAAAATATGGAGCAAAAGCCAGACGAGCTATTGAGAGAAACCCCGAGTAAGTTGTTGTTTTATTCACATTAATTATATTAAGATAGGCTAGTAATACTTTGGTTTCTGATGATTTTTTGGAACTTACAGATTCAACCTTCCAATTTTGATCAAATAGAGCAGGAGCATCTATGATACTTCATAAAGATTCAGCATGGAAGGAAAGCTGGAATAAGTTTAAAGAAAATAATCCAGTTATGCGAGGTTCAGTGAGAAAAATTTGAAAAATTTTTGCTTATCAGTATTCCTTTTTATAATTTAAAGTAATAGAGAAATGATTATTTATTTATATTATATTATACCAAAGGCATATTTAACATGAAAAGGAATTATGAAGATAGTGACAATGTCATCATTGCATTTACTAGAGATTTCACAGATCGTATTTCATATACATTAGGTACAGTGAAAATATTAATTGAGATGGTTACCATTTCCTATGTTTTTAACTGAATAATTTTATCATAGGATCACTTTTTCAAGAGAATGAAACGGCACAGGCGATTACACAATTAAAAATGATAGATCCAGGATTTAACATTGAAGGGTTTATGAAAGAATTAAGGGAGTTTATTATACCAGAAATAATGGAGGCATATCTGAAAGGAGATATGGAAACTTTAAAAATATGGTGTTCAGAAGCAGTGAGTTATTAATAACAATATTTAACGTAATTTAATGAATAGAAGTAAAATTTATTTTAGATTAATTAAAGATAATTAAATAAATATAGACGTATTCAATATTGAACCATGGTGTGCAATCACAGATTCAGCAAGGTCTTGTAAGCGATTCAAGGGTGCTGGATATTAGAGATGTAGAGGTGAGCAAATAAAATTAAACTTGATAGCATATACCTTTAATAGTAAAACCATTTTAACGGCAAACATAATTGTTTATTAAGTTGGCGACAGCCAAAGTACTTGAGAGTGGTATACCAGTGTTAGTTGTATCGTTTAATACGCAGGAAGTTATAGTATTTCGAGATCGAATGACCAAAGAAATAATATACGGACGAGAAGATCAAATTGATCAATCCACATACTTATGTGTGATTACCAAGCAAGAAGATTATTTAACAGATCCCATAACAACCGGATGGAGAATTATAGGTAAGATTAATGATAGTGTTCCGAATATATAAAGTACTTGCATTAACAAATTTTATTAATTTATTTTGCACATATTCTAAGAAATGGCAAAGCATAGATCACAAACTTTAATATGGTAAAATAAAATAATTTTAATAATTTTAATGGCTCGTCATAGCTTTCAATTTTTAGACAACGATTATAATGCGCCTATTTGAGCGACAGAACAAACAAATAACTTTATCCATATTAATAAAAATCATTATTCCAAATCAGATTGTGTAATTAGTGAATGTAATTAGTTGATGCAGTTAGTGATGCGATGAGTGAATGCAATTAATAAATGCAATCTGTGAATGCAATTAAGAATACAATTAGTGAAAATTAAATTAATTTGTAAAAAAAATAAAAAATAAAATTAATAATAAATTAAAAAAAAAACTGATAATTGTGAATTACAAATTTACACAATAATTATTAACTATTTGTAATACGAGTGATGCATCATAAACATGATGAATTGACGTTTTTTAGCACAAACTATTATAAGAAAAGGTAAAACTGTTAGTATGAGAAGACTGTAAGCAAAAGAAAATGTAAATCAGGAGAAAAGTAGATTCTGTGTCGAAATTGCGTAATAAGATTAATAAAAATTTATAAATGTTACATAAAGAAACCCAAAAAGGGTAGTAATGTGTGATATATAAAGCAGTAAAGGGAACGTCTAAAGCCGTGTCCAGTCACGTGTTTTTTGTTTTTAATTAATTTA